CCCCAAAACCCCAAAACCCCAAAACCCCAAAACCCCATGATGAATCGTTGACATTGAAATGTTAGCAACGTTATTATTTATTTAGTATTTGAGAACACCAATTTGTAATTTGCCAATGATAAAATTAGCATTGACCCAGTGGTGATATTTATTGAATAGCTCAGTACAGTCTTTTCCTGCTCCAGCCATGATCTTCTTGCCTCCTGGGTGAGACTTCACATAGCTTGTGATATCATAGACTTTGCCTTGCCAGACAGTCCAACAGTCATCTGCCTTTTTGTGTTTGGCTACTTCTTCCATGGTGTAATACTTAGCCCCAGGTGTTTTAGTGACAGCTGCCTTTCCCATTGACTCGAGGATAAACTTTTGCTGTGAGATTCCATCCTTAATAGGTACCTTCTTCCTTGCCTTGGGCACTTCGTCAGGATCCTCAAAGTCTTCCTCCTTTTTATCCTCTTCATACATGGTTGTCTTTATGACTGGAAGAGGCATTTTAAAGAAGCTTTCAGTTACATAATCATCAGAATCAATTGAGTGTGCTTTGCGATGAGGTAATTTATGGATATCAAACGATAAAATCTCGTGGAACTCTTTCATATCCCTCGTTGCAGCACTACTAGTAGGATCTCTCTTCCTCTTAGTAACTTTGATCAGCTGATTTTTCTTATTAACGTACATCACAAACTTATCTAATGAATCTTCTGGTACAATTTCGTTTTCTGTGACAACACTAAGTTTAGATTCTAAGTTATCCAAGATTTCACCTGGACCTGCTTCTTCACCATCCACTTCGAAATGGACTTTATCTGTCCCAAGATATTCTCTGATAGCGTCTTGGAAGTAGAGTATGACTGTCGCCATTTCCTTCTTCGTTGTCAGGTCGTGATACTTCAGTTGGAAAAGCCTAGATGTGTGTTCAAAATCAATAGAGTATTTTGGTTCCATTTTTATTACTATGATTCTACCAAAGTTTATTAAATAGGGGTTTTGGGGTTTTGGGGTTTTGGGGTTTTGGGGTTTTGGGG